TAAGCTGAATCTGTTGACTAATTGAGATTTTACTCTGGGCACAACCTTTGTGAGGAACAAATGCAATGTATGATTTGATAACTTCACTCTGCTGTTTTTATAAGTGTGCAGTATGCATATCCACAAGTGTACTGTACACAAGTGCAAAACACATTAGACTCTATACTTCATTCGGTAACATAATACACACAGTTGCAGTTCAAGCAAAGCTTCAACACTGACTGTAACTTGATTTTAATTGGTCACTGCTGCAAACTGTTGCTCTTTGCATGTCAAGAAATAAAGTCTGTTGCATATGAACTCTGGGTAACATTAAAAATTACTCTCACATGGGGCTCCCTCTGTGCTGCAAGGGTTAAATGCTTGTTTTTGTCTAGGGGTAACATAAAAGCAGTTTAATGTACCTTATCCCTTGTTATTGTAGGCTTCTTCCCAGCTGCATCACCAGTCCCCCAAAGCTGCTTCTCTTTGCAGAGCCACCCACAAACCAGGGCATCAGAGAGCAGAGGCTGCTAGGGGAGTGTGGGATAAGGAGATAATCTCCTTGGGAGAGAATCTTACTTATTTCCAGGTCTATCTCACACCCATCACCTAGAAATTAAGTGAGGTGTAATAACACTGGGACTTTGTAACAGGCACCAGTACATACCTCTATTCATCTTTAGCATTCTTCTAGACCCTGGGAACCCTAAAACCTTAAAAAATATTTATGCTAATACTGACATCATCAAATGTAGCTCTACCCTCTTGAGGAGCCACTGATCGTATTGGCATTCCTAACATGTGTACTGTTCCATAGCTGCCTAAAACCACTTACCGACCCACCAGTGGCTAACAATTAACTGGCTTCAACACTGTTGATCTCTTGGGGAATTTATAAGCAGGGTTCAGGCACAGGACACCCCTGGGATCAGAGCAGACTCTGGTGATTTAGTAAAGAAGAACACCTACTCTCACTCTTGAGAAGAACGCTCTTCTCAAACAAAGGATCTTTAGGCTGACCCAGCTAACTGAGAACTAAGCTTTTGGCTACAGAGCAGTAAAAGAAGCAGTAAATCCCTTAGGAAGACACCACACTTCAGACAAGGTCCTAACTATATTTCAGCTTTTTGGCACCTCCACCAAATATCAGCATCCAATCAGGGCAAGGGAGTCTTAGGCAAAATTCGGGCCTAATCAACAATAAGCACATGGTTTCCTTTCCTAGGCAGCGGTGCTAGGAGGTCAAAGACATCCATCACACACACTATCTAGACATGAGGCCTTTGTGAAGGGAGTTTCCAGCAGGGTTTTACCAAATATTTATAAACCTCCTAGCGGTTGGCCAGGGGGACATAGATATTTATAACTCAGCATTATTGCCAGGCACTCGTTTGCCTAACACTCTCCATTCAATTAAACAGCAAGATGTGGGAGATGTGAAGGGGAAACTATAGTGTAATTGCATTGTAAAGTAACCAGTTTTCAGGTTCCCAAAGTGCACTGGGAGATAACTGAAGATGCATGCACCTACATATAGGTGCCTGCTATGAAGCCCAGAAATAATTGTATTTAGGACCCTATAGGTATACTTTGAAGTATACCTGCAAGTTCTGTGTTGCATGCAAACTGGATATCAGTGAAGAGATCCCCGCTAGTCTACAATATTTAGGTAAGGAGCATTTAAAAAATGTGTCTATTCTAAAGCTTAAAATGCCTTTCTCCTGCTTAAATTGTAGACAAGTGAGCTATTTACAAAGCAAATGTCTAAGCGTTAATTCTGTGTTGCAAAAGGACTTTTTGTCCTGACCTTTCGGTTCTCTTGATACTGGAACTGGGATATGGTAACATGTAAATTTTGCTGCATGTCTCGATCATTGCAGGAAGGGATATGCATGAATGGTCACATTCTCATAGGAGCATATGAATATTCATGACTCTGACACTAGACTAGATCATAACCAAGCTGCAGCATGGAGCCTCTATGTTTCAGCTACTGATAGTCTGCATGAGCAAAGCAAAAAACAATGAACACAGTATGACACTGATATACAAAGGGCTCAAACGCACAGAATAAAATTACCAATTAAAAAAAAAAGAAAAATGTAGTTGTGAGGTCTACAAATAATGTACAGCGCTTCCACACTGTGGTGACTGAAAAATGATTATTACTTCATGCACACATTAACATACTTCTTTTACTTTGTTGGTTGGCAAGGTGTAGTTTAATAGCTACTCTAAACCTTGCTTAAATGTCTGCAGTAAGAATCGCAGGTCAAAAAAAGCTGTGTGGCTAAAGTTCTCCGTTAATATGTTTTAATTGCAAACTGAAATATCACAGAATTCTGTAATCTAGCCACTGGTCTGTGGAAAAAATAATATTTTAACGTATTGGTCAATAACTACTATTGGAATGTGGGTTCTTAAACCTTTTTAATGTTGCTTTGTTAGGACCCCTTTACAGGTGCTGAAACATTTCCATACATGTCAATGTGTTCTATGTGCATCTCTGTATTTAGTTTATATCCGAATCTGGATCACAAGTTTACAAAGGTTTAGAATCTGTGTTTTAAAGGGTGGCTCCACTTATAGAGTAAGTAAGTAGGAAGAGTAAGGGAAAAAAGGGAAAAAATGTCTGCTGTATAAATCCTTTGCGTTGAGTCTTTCTTACCTATACCGGTTTAGTAAGATTTTCATGAAATAGTTTTTGACCCCACCATCTGCCAACCACATATAATGTGTTGTCCTCCAGCAGAAATATTCTATTATTATGGAAAATCCACTATAGGAATATGACACAATGATTTGGCTGCAGCTGTTGAGCAGGACTGAAAATTCTGGTGGGTCTTCCACTGAAGTTCCTTCAGAAATTTGGGACACCAGTTCTGTATATGATTCAGGTTTTTAGTAACCATACAATACTGGAATATCAGTTTGGGATAAAAATTACCTTTGTGGCATATCCATTTTATATCACATAATATTATTCACAATAAAACCTCTCTTAAAAGTTTTGAAGGGAGGATTCTGAAAGTGCTGACCTCAGACACACACTGTAGTAGGTGAGCTGGACATTCTCTTAGAAGGGAACGCAAAGAAAACATGGCATTGTGTAAACTGCACATACCACAAATGTTTTCATATATTCTGCCTGGGTGGTCTAAGGATACTGTATGAACAAACCCCAGATTGCTACCTATATATCTGAAATGATGCGCTCGACATAAACATAGAAACCAAAATGTAAGAAACACAAGAAAGCTTCTGACGGACTGTTTCAGGTACATCTGACTTATAGGTTAGTGGGGAAACCATCACTGTAGATTCATTTTCTATGTCTCCAAAGACTAAAAAATAATATATGTACAACCCAAGGAAAACAAGATTGAAAAGTGTAAAGTAGTAAATACCTAAAAAGATCATGAAAGAAAATGGTTCAAATGCACTAAAGTCTGTGTTTTCTATTATTTCAATCATATTGTTACTGCTTACAAAAAGATGTATGGAACTGTAAAGGAAAACTCCCTGTTAAACTCAAAAACAAAAACAAAGTTGCAGATGCGCCCTTAGTAAATCCTGATCTACAGTGCCTGTGTTGGGTTCCAGCCTTGATTGATGCCCTTCATGGGTTCTTGATGGGGTTGCCAACTTCGACTCCAAAAGTGTCCTACTTTCATACATTTTTATTGGTTGCTCTTGGAGCTAAGCCAATGAATCATCAAACACAAAATACATTCTAGTAAAGCTCAGTTCATTATTTCTGATCCCTGATACTCACCCAGTTTTTATTTGGGACTTCAGAGTTGTGTTTTTCCTTTAAAAGTTTCTTGTGCCACAGCTGAGTCTCATCCAGTCTCTAGACCTAAATGTGGTTGTATCATAGAATGCCTTAAGACTAATGAATTGGGCCCATTAACTAGAAACTTGAAAGTCATGTGGCATCTGCAGAGCTAAATCTTGGCTTCTCTGTCCTCTTGTATAATGTTATTGTGTTCTGCACAGAACCTCATGCTAGAGGGCATATTCTTAAGACCACAAGGCATAATGAAGAATCCACAACCATGGGCAAAAGATGTGTTTTTGGACAATTTGGAACTAATGGCATACACGCACTCTCCTGTGGAACTGAACTCTGAAAGCTGTGCCAAAAAAAGCAGACAGAAGGCAAAGGACTAGTCACCAGTAATGATGTGGTCCCTCTGCAGAAGATCTTTTCCCTATTACCGGCCTACCATTGCTCTGCACTGTGTCTCTGTGTGGAGCCAGTCATCTTGGTAGAGGCCAAATCTCCTGAGACTAGCAGTGAAAGGCAGCAGTGCCTTAGATCCCACATCAGAGATATACAGTACATCTATGCGACTGTCGTCACACAATAGCCCTCTCCCTCACATACCAGGAAGTGCACTGCTAATATTAGGTGGAATGTAAGACAAAAGGTGCATTTGTAGGTACTGCTTAGGCACAATTAACATTTCAAAATGTTCCCTATAAGATAGCAAATCTTTACTTTTTGAGTTCAGGTCCACTTTGACAGCTCTTTGTGAAAGGCAATGTTGGACAGCACATCTAGAGGTTGGCATAATAACAATACTGATGCCAGAGGCCAAGAGGCCATGTATTCCATATTCTCTTAGACTATCCTATAGTTCCTCCACTTCTATTAACCACCAAAATGGTACCTGAATCTGATGGCTTGTATTTATCAGGTTGATGATGTAAAGCAGTTCCTGACATTTTCTGCTTTGGGCAAAGGAAGAAAATAACAATGGCAATTATTTAGAACAACTAAAGTTAAATGGATAAGTTGCCCACAGCACCCTAACAGTATCCAGATGTCATTATACCAAGGCAAATTACAACATGAAAGATAACATTTAACTGGTTGCTTTGGGAGACAGCCCTAATTTTTATTTGCCACAGTTTTAGAAATCTGCCCCAGTTCATTCCTGTTCAGAAAAGTGCTAATCAGAAGAATATACAGATAGTTAGATCGACCTGAGCGAAAAAAGATTTAAACTTACCTCTACAATATCTGAATTTGTTCGACTTTCATGTGGCTCATTGTATTCTGTGTATTTCAGCAAGACCTTATCCATATCTGTGCTAGCGTACTGGAAGAGTTTGTTGGTGCTGTTGAAGATGATTAGTGCTATCTCACAGTCGCATAGAACACTTAACTCATAAGCCTTCTTCATTAATCCAAACTTCCTCTTCGTAAACGTCACCTGGAGAAACAAAATAAAGTTTATGAAGACTAAAGACCATTATAAGAGAGAACATAAGTACAGGGGAGACCGTAGCAGTTAATGCTGATTTTTTTTAATATACTGTATATGATCTCTTTTACCTGCCAAAGGTTTCGTACATCTATCCATCAAGTTGTGAGATTTACATAGCTCTGTCCCAACAAACAGCACTTGCTGGCAGGGCAGGATACCTGCATTTTCTCTGCTTTAGTTAAGTAACACTTTCAGGTCTCACACCTCCCACCCTGTGTTTAAATAGTGAAAGTAGAAGCAGCAGATTGATGAACTCATCTCTCTGTCGCTCGGCACCCTCTTCCTATCAACTTGCTCCTTGCATTGCAGTACAACTAATCCAGTGATGTGCCGTGCCTTCAGTGCTGGGTGAGGCATCCCCAGCCAGCCGAAGCTCCACCCCCATCCCGCCAAAGTCCTGCCCAAAGCTCAGTCATCAAGCTGTGTGAGGAGGAGACAGGGAGGAGCCTCCCTGTCCTTCACTTGCTCGTCACTGGTGAGGCATTGAGATCGATGTCTTCACTGTTTTTTGTTGTTTTTGTTTTCTGATTGGACAGCTTGGACCAATTGCGCTTTGCCATTGATCCAAGCCATCCACAGAGCTCACACCTCTAACACAGAGTAGAGGCTGTGACAGCTCTTGCCTCACCAAGTTAGGTTACACAAGCAGTGGGGAAACCCGCTGCTGTGTAACCTAACTACCTGTCAAAAGTCGAATGCAGCGCTGCCTGTAATTAGCAGGCAGCACTCCGTCCATGACAGTTTACACGGCGGGGAAGCTTTCCCTGCTGTGTAACCTGTAACAAGCCGATCTGAATAAAGAAAAAGCTGTCAGCTTCAGACTTGAAGCTGACACCTTTTTTCTTCATAATACTAGGTGAGGCTCTGCCTCACCTGCCTCCCTGTGCTCCTTGTGCTGCTTCTTCCTCATCTCCATCAAAAAAATTGCATTCATTTGTGTCTTCTATATATGCTTGGTTTTAACTGTAATGAGTATGCAATAATCTATAAAATAAAACAAAAAATGAAATGCAGGACCATGTCTCATACATTTTATGTATAATATATAAATAGATATTCACTGTAAATTGCTATAAAGATGCTAAATCACTTGTTGGTGCATAGTGAATCTTTGGAGGGGAGTTACAGGAATATACATGTTCAATGTAGGTCCAACAAGCTATAAAATCCCAGGTTTGAATAAAAAAATGTAGTTAACCTGACTGAATGTTTGTTGAACAAATGTGTATTTTTCCCAGACTTTATGAACAATCTTAGCTTGTCTGCATTTTTACAGTCTGTCTGTAAATTTCTGGACAGTGCGTAAGCCTGAAAAAAACATGGTTGTGAGGCCTTTGCAATGATTCTGCAACTTGCTACTTTAGTGACAACTGGCCTCATCATTAAACTCACTTGATCAGTACAACCACATTCTGCAAAAGAGAAAATAATATTCTCAAGGCAATGCACATTGAAACACTGAGCAGATAACTAGACTATATTGATCAGAGACTGGATTAAAATATATGAGTACCATGCCATCCATATTTATATTACTAACTTGCTTTCATGCCAGAAAAGCCAACATGTTCCTCTGGTACAAAATAATTCCTTAAATATGTTTAATATTTACTGGATTTGATCCCAAACTAAGAATATCTCATTATTTGAATTTAGTGTTCAGAACATGTTGTTATGGTGATTGGTTAGTGAGGTGGTAGTGGGCAAAGCTTTGAGTAATGTGAACAAGGTGTTCCTTTTAATAACCAGAAAATTGGAATATCATTTGGATAAAACCTGTCTGGTGATTTTAAATAAAGAGACATTTTTAAAAGGGAGAAGCTAAAAAGGACATAACATGTTTTAGGAAATGCACAAATATGACACAAATGCCACTCTCACACACATGCACACACATGTGACAGATGTCTTATTTTAAAGCTAAATTCCAGACAGATATAGAAGGCACACATTAATGCAGCCCAGCACTAGACTTAATTATTATTATTTTTTCTTTCTATGCAAGCAGTAGATATACTTGAATTTGACTTGGTATCAGTCTACTGTACAGCAGAGCTCAGACTGGGAGATGGAGAAGCAGCACAAGGAGCCAATTAGTTGTGCTGCAGTGCAAGGAGCATGCTGATAGGAGAAGAGAGCAGAATAACCGACAGAGCATATAAGTCTGCTGCCTCTCATTTCACAGTTAGAGGAGGGGCAAGACCTGTAAGGGTTACTGAACTGTAGCAGAGGAAAATCAGGTCCTCTGTCCAGCCAGACATCCCTATGCTTTGTGGCAGAGCTGTCTAAATCTTAAGACTGAATGGGCATCTATACAAATCTTTTGGCAGCTCCATATATGTATTTCATCTGTGTATTTAGCTGTTTGCTTGGAGTTCAACACCACCTTCCCATTCACTAAGGGCTCCCTAAGATAAGGAATTTAGCTTATGCTTAAACAGTATTGGAAAGTCACATTCCAGATTCTACAGTTATAGTGTTATTTTATAGGGTTACATTCCAGATGCAATCTAAAACCAACTGCCACCCCGGTCGACGACTGAATGCCAGCTGCCTGGTAATGCCATTGGATTATGTAAGCACTTTAAACCCAGTCAGCAGGTCTGTAACCACTCAGAGGAGTGGCTCCTACATGCCTGCAGTCTGAGCGTTTATCCTTTCCAGCTTAAGGAGCTTTCACGCTCATTACCAAAACTACAAACTCAATATGTTGTTACAAATGTATGAAGTTGTGCAGCACACATGTCACTGTAAACCATATAAAGCTAAAAAAAAGTTCCAAGGCTCAAGGAAAGTGAAAATAATCCAATTCTTGTATTAATGGATTTAGGGAGGAAAGATGTGTAAGGAGCAATAACCAATATCAACAAATCAAATCTCAGTTTAGTGTCATCAGATAGAAGAATGCTGAGATCTAAATGGACCAATGCACTTTTACGCTGCGCCTCTTGATTAAAAAAACGTGACTGTGTATATTACTGAAAGGACAGCTTAGTATTTCAGTAAACATTTACAGGGCTATTCACAAAAGGGGGAAGAGTTTGGAGAAGGCAGGAGAAGTGAACAATCTAGGCCAAAATAGCTGATTTGGAAATATTCTCCAATTCAGCTCACTTCCAGCTAAGCTATGTAGTCCTAGGTTGTTCACTTCCCCTCCCTTCTCCAAACTCTTCACCCTTTTGTGAATAGCCCTGTTATTTTTTATATGCTTCTGGCTAGATACCGAGACTTCTTGTCATTTATACTTCAATCAATGATTGGCAGGAATAAAAACCATTATTAAGATTCCTTTTGACATCCATTCAAATAAGAGCATTGTTTCGATTATACATTTTATCTTCCGGCTGGGTGATCTTTACACTTCATTTAAAAATTAAAACAGCTTTGTGACCTTGTTACAAATTATGTCACATGTTCCATTTAAAGCGTATGCCCATCCAAATTTTTCATTTGTTCTATGTAGAGCAAGATGGATTAGGGCCCCTGTTATTTTTTTAATTCAACATACGGAAAGTAAGAGGAAATCTGCAACAGGGATACAGACAAAAGAAAACATTTTCCTGGGGTTCTAGTCTTCACCTGCTCTACAAAAAAAAAATATATCTATATGTATTTATTTTTCTGTGTTGCTGCTGGGAATTGTTCTTTTTCGCTTCTTGTGAAATCTCTTCAATGGCGGCCCAGATAACAGCAAAAAAAAACAGGTTGAAATTTATGCACATTCTATCTAAAACTAAAAAAGAATGTTTTGGCTGGACATACACTACCTATCATATAAAATGTACATGGACTGACATTGCAGATCACCTCCTGGTTATTAAATATCTGCATTGTGTATACAGACCAGGAGTTGGCTGTGGTCGGACTTCTCTCACCGCATACTTGTTCCAATTAAGAAGCACTGAAGCCAGTGGATCAGCATTACTGCTAGTCAATTTGCATTTCAAATAAGTGGTTGGCAGTGGAAATTTAGGTACTTCCCCCCAAAAAGATTTGTTTAAACAAACCAAAAAGTGAACTCTGCTGTATAAACTAGTATTTCGTACTCAATGTAAAAGCAAAAACTGCCTTTTGACAGAACTCAGTGGGCAAGTAAGCAGAAAGAGTTAGTAAATCAGCCCTCTTCATCACCCAGTCAAATTATCTTTTCAATACGTAGGTATTTTCACTTTCTATACTTAGCTTCTTTATGAGGAAGATAAATTAGTTCAGAATTACAATGGAATCAAATGCATTGTTTACTTGTGCATCTAAAAATACCATCTATATAGCCCTGGTAGCTTTACTTCCTCCAGCAAAAACATCATCATCTGCTCTTCCTGGTGTATTGTTCTGAGAAGACGTGAACTTTTTATATTTGGTTGTGCACTGGTTTAATCCTAATGATTTTGAGTCAAAACAAATGTCATTTGGTACGTCATGCTAGCATTGTTGGTGAACCGCAACCTTTGCTTGAGCTCTTCAGCAGTGTACAGAAGGAAGAAAAATAATAACCTCATCACTTTTAAACGAGTCTTATAGAGTCTTTCAAGGACTATTCCTTCAAGTGATTCAAAATTCAAAAGTAAACAGTGACAGTGCTGGACTGAGACTGAGAGAGTTATTATTTAAAGCAGCACTTTATATGGAGTAAAAATGTATATACAGTATATATTGGTGTATGTGTATATATATCTATATATCTATAGATATATATATCTATAGATATATATTTATTTTTTGACTTGGAAAAGGATTTAGAACCTCTGCCAGGGATCTTCTTGCCATCTCAATCTCCATTCATATTCCTGCTTATTTCATGGATGTCAGAACAGGAAATGGGGGAAAATCGGACTGCGTTTTGTCAATTTGATGGTTGCCAGGTAAAGGTTAATCTACACAAGGGATGTGCGGTCAGGGGAGGCAGGTGAGGCAGAGCCTCACATAGTATTATGAAGAAAAAATGT